TTCCTGGCGCTGGGGTTGTTTCAGCTTGGTACTGAGCTCCTTGTTCTCATCACTGCTCCTCTCCCCTCGCGGTGAGGCGAGCTGTTTCTGGAGGTGTCCTTGACAGCCCTTAGCTCTGCCCCACGTCTTGTTTCCTCACATTCCCCTTTCTTTATTGCAGCTGCTCCAAAAGGCTCCTCCGTGTTCTTCCACGCTCTCTTCTTCCCCACAGGTGCTGTCCATATGGGAGGGAACAAAAAACATCCTGTCGCTCGATGTCCTGCGATCCCTTACCAAGAGCCAAGGGCAGGCGATGGCCGTGTTCTTCTCCGCGACGCAGGTGAGCCCGCAGCAAAAGGTCAGCCCGACCTGCCCGCCTTGGCTCCTGGCTGACACCGAGACAGGGCCAGAGCCAAAGCTTTAGATGAGTCTTCAGAATGTGTCTTCCGATTCGGCTCTTTAAATAACACTTAGGAAAGCAGAGCGCGGGCAAAGCGCGCTGTGGGATCCCCGTGTGCTGCAGATACTTTCCTCTCAGCAGTGAAGTGTTGCCTTGTCAGGGTTCCTCTTGACAGGTACCCGCGTATTTCTAATGCGAAAGGGTCCCCTTCCCGAATCCAAAATACTTCTGTGAGTTTGTTCCTGAACTGAAAGAACACCACGAGGCCACTGAATATCAAACCATCACTAGGGCTACCTACTGCGTTACAACTTTCTGTTTTTATTCCCCCTGAAAAGACGGAAAGAGCTGAAGGAATTCGATTGCTGCTTCTTCAGATTTGCCATACTTTGCCATTTCCCCACGGGCTGCTCTTTTAAAGGTGCTCACATGACAGGCAGCCACGGAGAGATCAAAGCAGCTCAGGCTTTCCTGAAGGTAAACGAGCATCGGCTGGCTTGAGAGGTCTCGTGAAGGGAGACACGAACCAGCCCGAAAGGCACAACTGGCACCTCAGAGGGCGTTCGCTCAGAGAAAACGTTATTAATCCAGATGAAGCAAAGCAGCTTGCGTTAGCCCAGATACAGCGAGGGGACCCTGGGCATCTCGAGTGCTGGGTTAGACCACGTGTAGCCTTCACTTTTCTCACCCAGCACCCAGGAGAAGGGAAAGGGGTGGGTCAGTGCGCTCCCGGCAGCGCTGACAGCCAGACGGGTCTTTCTAAACCACACGGGCAAGAGTTTGAGTGATTCTCACCAGCTGGCAACTTCATCTGCAAACTGTTCTGTGCAGAGCAACCTCTCTGACCTCCGAGCACGAGTGTCCTCCTGCCATCCTCTCCGACAACTTCTGATAAAGGAAAAATCCCTTGTGTGGCGGTCGGATTGTCTGAGGCAGTCAGACTGCTGCGTAGTCAGACTGTTTGCTCGTGAGCAGGACTGAGCACACCCGCTAATTAAAAAGCCAACTGGTGCAGTTGTTGATAAAAAGCAGCTTAGTCTGACCCTGAAGGTAATGGAGTGGAGAAGGAAAGGAGCGGGTGGGAGGCTCTAAAAATAACTTGGAAAGAAGCCGGCCACCCCAGGCTAATTTAACCGAGGAACTCCCGGGGTGCTGTACCGCAGCCTCCGGAGCGAGAGGGTCCCTCCAGCTGGACGATCAGAGAAGCGTTACGGAACACAGCAGCGACGTGATTCGGAGCAGGTACCAGCGCAGTAACATTTCAGTATCAAGATCTATTAATTAACGAGCTCATCGTAGCTCTTGTGCTCCCGCAACAGGCTTTTTACTGCTCCACTCCATCTCCTTTTTACCGACGCACACACTCCTGGTGCAATTTATTTTACGTCTGTCCGTCGAGGTTCTCGGTGGGTGGGATTTGCGACTGCGCAGGTCTGGAACTCTTGCTGTACATCAGACCTGGAATCTAAGACACGTGACAGTGTTTTCAGGTCCTTTTCAGACCACAACCACAATTTTAACACGCAGGAAACAGATCTAGGTTATTAAAGCAAGACTACGTGTATGAGCCTTGTTTTGGGTGTTTCTCCTGTTGCCGTGTTTTTAAATACGATTATTCTCTTAAGTAAAACCCATCCTGATCACTTTGCTTGGTAGCTAGTGAGAAAAAACAAGAGAGTGGCATCTTAAAACTCCTCAGTGAGAACAGACCGAGTGGGAAATGCCAGGGCTCTAAAGCTCTTTTGCTCTTCAGTGATTTCTGGTCCCCTCAGTCACACCCAGGGAGCTGGAGCAGGTCAGCATGAAGGAGGGAAAACGGGAGCTGCTGCCTCGAGCATCGTTCCTGCAGCAGTTCCGCAGTGGCAGGGGAGGATGTGGAAAAAGCCAGCTTGATCTTTCAGAAGATTCAGCACTTTTGGTTAGGACAAGTAATCTAGAGGAAGGAAAAAAAAACCAGTTTAAATCGTTAGGGAGTAGAGAGACTGAAATGATGGTTTTATATTCCTGGTCCGTGCTGCTCAGGTCTTGAAACCTCACGAAGCGAGGCAGCGCAGGATGAGGCGGCTCGCAGCCGCGCCGTTAGCACCGGGGCGGT